GAAAGACTATGAGTAAACCTGAAGGTTCTTCAGAACAGTCCGATGTTGAACTTGTGACAAAGAACGATTACTGTGAGAAGGGGATCGAAGTAGCAAAGTCTAAAGGGGCTACTATTCCCGTGGTTCTTGAAAATGAAAAGATACATTTCAGTGAGACAAGTTCGGAACCAGCAGCCGATGAGACTTCTCAGGCAAATGACAGCACTGTTACTGTGTCATTTGAAGATTTTATGAAGAACCAAGGAACTGAAGAGCCTTCAGCTGAAAAAGCAGCAGAGGCCAACTCTGAGATAATTGAGGAAAGTAACAAGCTTCCCAATTTAATAGAAGACATGAGTTCAGTTTCTCCTCAGCCAATCTCCCCAAAAACTGTAACTGTCCATGTTCAAATTCACTCTAGTCCTGTATCTACCTCAGCTCAAAATTCCAAAATGAAACAGAAAAAAATAGCCTCAATTTTTTTGAGAAAGAAAGCAGACTCTGAAAGTGAAGTGGTTGAAATCCAACAGCTGAGCCCACATCCTGCTGAGAGCCACGATTCAGTTCCTGCAAGGAGATCCAATGTGGTGATAGCAGAGGAGGAGTTGGAGCTATTGGTATTGGATGCCACTGAAAAGAGTCCCATGAAGGCCAAGTGTAGTCGAGCTGAAAGGGAACAGTTTATGAATGCTTTCAGGCGACCGCCCTCTTCAGATCAGGCAAAAAATGGACTTAAAAAGGTAACGCAGAAGTCAAAAGCCTCCAAGCAAGGTTTAGCACAAGGTGAAGGTAGTGATGATGAGCCCAATCTCGAGAAGGGAAAAGGGGAATTCGTCCAGACTACAAATGCTGAGATGTCAAGCCAAGTCTGCAAAGATTCAAGGGTGGAAAGCAGAGAGTCTGTAGGTGCAACTTTGAAGAAGAAGAAGAAGTTAAAACTCAGAAAATTTAGAGCTGAATGTAAAAACCTAGATGATTGTGAAACAACAGGAAAAGAATTTAATCCTGATCTGAATCTGGGCTGTGACACAACTGAAGAATCCAGAGACCCTTTGGATCTAACAACAGCGCGTTCAAATGAAACTTGTAGAACTACACGGAGGAGCCTTAGACAGCAAAGAGATGCTTTGGACAATTGCCTGACACCACATAAAGCCATTGGAGCGGATTGTCTGGGCGTTCCAGCTTGTCAGTCAACTCCGAAATTGAAACGTTGGTCTTCCAAAGAAAACAGCTTCTACAAAGCAGAAATGATTCCCATGACCTGTAGCAAAAGTCCAATCAGGTGATGTGATTTCAAATCTCCACACTGTTGCAGTGTTGATTGTAGCTGGTATGGTTCTGCAATATTTAAATGAAAGATGACCCTTATTCTACCAGCTGTAGAGATTTGCTGACTTTGCCGATGACTTTAACTGCATATTGTTGCAACTGTTTAGAATGTGTGGCTTAATGAAAGGACGATACATGTGCCATGTGCATGGTGTTTATCTGGGAAGTGGTGGATAGTACTGTGTACAATAATGAGAGAGAGATATGAGACCATTGAGGATTATTGATTCTTATTTGTGTAAGATCAGGGAAGGTGGTAAAAGAGGGGGAGGTGTGGCATTGTTAGTCAAGGACAGTATTACGGTGGCAGAAAGGACGTTTGATGACAACTCGTCTACTGAGGTAGTATGGGCTGAGGTTAGAACCAGGAAAGGAGAGGTCACCCTGTTGGGAGTTTTCTATAGGCCTCCGAAAAGTTCCAGAGATGTAGAGGAAAAGATTGCAAAGATGATTCTGGATAGGAGCGAAAGTAACAGGGTAGTTGTTATGGGGGACTTTAACTTTCCAAATATTGACTGGAAACGCTATAGTTCGAGTACTTCAGATGGGTCAGTTTTTGTCCAATGTGTGCAGGAGGGTTTCCTGACACAGTATGTAGATAGGCCAACAAGAGGCGAGGCCACATTGGATTTGGTACTGGGTAATGAACCAGGCCAGGTGTTAGATTTGGAGGTAGGAGAGCACTTTGGTGATAGTGACCACAATTCGGTTACGTTTACTTTAGCGATGGAAAGGGATCGGTATACAAAGCAGGGCAAGAGTTATAGCTGGGGGAAAGGCAACTATGAGGCGATGAGGCCAGATTTAGGATGCATAGGATGGAGAAGGAAACTGCAGGGGCTGGGCACAATTGAAATGTGGAGCTTGTTCAAGGAACAGCTACTGCGTGTCCTTGAGAAGTATGTACCTGTCAGGCAGGGAGGAAGTGGTCGAGCGAGGGAACCGTGGTTTACTAAAGAAGTTGAATTTCTTGTCAAGAGGAAGAAGGAGGCTTATGTAGAGATGAGGTGTGAAGGCTCAGTGAGGGCGCTTGAGAGTTACAAGTTAGCCAGGAAGGACCTAAAGAGAGAGCTAAGAAGAGCCAGGAGGGGACATGAGAAGTCTTTAGCAAGTAGGATCAAGGAAAACCCTAAAGCTTTCTATAGGTATGTCAGGAATAAAAGAATGACTGGAGTAAAATTGGGGCCGGTCAAGGACAGTAGTGGGAAGTTGTGCGTGGAGTCCGAAGAGATAGGAGAGGTGCTAAATGAATATTTTTCGTCAGTATTCACGCAGGAAAAAGACAATACAGTCTATTAGACTAGACGGGATTGAGGTTCATAAGGAGGAGGTGTTAGCAATTCTGGAAGGTGTGAAAATAGATAAGTCCCCTGGGCCGGATGGGATTTATCCTAGGATTCTCTGGGAAGCTAGAGAGGAGATTGCAGAGCCTTTGGCTTTGATCTTTATGTCGTCATTGTCTTCAGGAACAGTGCCAGAAGACTGGAGACTAGCAAATGTTGTGCCCTTGTTCAAGAAGGGGAGTAGAGACAACCCTGGTAATTATAGACCAGTGAGCCTTACTTCGGTTGTGGGTAAAGTGTTGGAAAGGATTATAAGAGATAGGATTTATAATCATCTAGAAAGGAATAATTTGATTAGGGATAGTCAACACGGTTTTGTGAAGGGTAGGTCGTGCCTCACAAACCTTATTGAGTTCTTCGAGAAGGTGACCAAACAGGTGGATGAGGGTGAAGCGGTTGATGTGGTGTATTTGGATTTCAGTAAAGCGTTTGATAAGGTTCCCCATGGTAGGCTATTGCAGAAAATACGGAGGCATGGGATTGAGGGTGATTTAGCGGTTTGGATCAGAAATTGGCTAGCTGTAAGAAGACAGAGGGTGGTGGTTGATGGGAAATGTTCATCCTGGAGTTCAGTTACTAGTGGTGTACCTCAAGGATCTGTTTTGGGGCCACTGCTGTTTGTCATTTTTATAAATGACCTGGATGAGGGAGCAGAAGGATGGGTTAGTAAATTTGCGGATGACACCAAAGTCGGTGGAGTTGTGGATAGTGCAGAAGGATGTTGTAGGTTACAGAGGGACGTAGATAAGCTGCAGAGCTGGGCTGAGAGGTGGCAAATGGAGTTTAATGCGGAAAAGTGTGAGGTGATTCACTTTGGAAGGAGTAACAGGAATACAGAGTACTGGGCTAATGGTAAGATTCTTGGTAGTGTGGATGAGCAGAAAGATCTCGGTGTCCATGTGCATAGATCACTGAAAGTTGCCACCCAGGTTGATAGCGTTGTTAAGAAGGCGTACAGTATGTTAG